AAATTAATAAATAATAATTAAGGAATTTTAAAAAATTACTAAAAAATATAAAAATAATTTTTTGATTAAAATTGAAACTAATTTAAATAATTACTAATTTTTTTAGTGATAGAAATTAATAAATAATAATTAAAGAATTTTAAAAAATTACTAAAAAATATAAAAATAATTTTTTGATTAAAATTGAAACTAATTTAAATAATTACTCTCAAAAGTGTAACTAAAATCCACAAAAACCATCTTTTTAGTTTAATTAATGGTTATTAAAATTTAAAACATAAAATTTCAATTAACCAATAATTTAGTTTCAATTATTACCTAAATTGAACCGTACCCATCCCTAATGCCAAGGTAAATAATTATGCATTGGTATCAGACCTCTGTTGAAAAAATCACCGGAAGGGGATTTCACACCTAGCGTAACAGAATCACAGCTCACAAGAACGTTTTTTTTATTAATAGACCATACATACCCCCTTCAGTGTGGATTTTGAATCTGTATCATTTCGGGAAAATAAACTTAATATATATACATATATTTTTTTTTACATATTTGAATGTATTGTATAAGACCCTTCATTTTTTTTAAATCCCCCCATCAACTCAATATTGAAATTTAAAATTTTTAATTTGAAATCACAAATTTTTAATCATTGAATCATTTCATTGAAGTTAATTATAAACTTAATATATATGAATGAATATATAGCGATGAATCTAGAAATGACGTTAATTATAAACTTATTTATATTTAAAAAATAATAATTATTTTAAAATAAAAAGAATACAATAAGAGCCAAACCCTCCCAATCAACAATAAGCGTTGCCCGTGGGGGTTTTTTATTTTTTTTTTCTTACAGGCGACAGATTGTACCCGCTGCCTGTGTAGGTTAAAAAGAACAGCTCCATAGGACAAAAGAAGCTGCATGGGGAGAGCCCTCTTTTGGGCTAGCTAGATTTAGAGGCCGGTGCCGTGACTTAACCTTTTCGAGGGGATAGAGTAGAGAATCCCACATGTGTTTAGCGTTTTAATTGGGCGGCTCACTCACTAACGACTATTTAAGGTCACGTCAGCAACCCATCAAAATTTATCGTTTTATTGAAAATTTTTAGAATTTATTGTATGTTTCGTATATTGGTAAAAAA